TCACGAAGTATTTCCAAGTCGCCAAAAGCATCGAGACGATCCATTTCTTCTGAAAGTGATCGCTCTCCACCAAGACGGCCTATTACAACTGTTCGGAGGCATTCACCTGAGGGTTCAATCTCCCCAAGAAGAAGATCACCTTATTCCAGGCAAAGATCTAGATCAAATTCCCAACAAAGATCACCCTCTCCGTATCGGCGTAGAGTACGTTCTCCATATTGGCGTAGACCCTCACTTGTCAGGCACCGCAGATCACCCTCACCTGTCCGGCGCCGCAGATCACCCTCACCAGTCAGGCGCCGCAGATCACCCTCCCCTGTGCGGCGCCGCAGATCACCCTCCCCTGTCCGGCGTCGCAGATCACCCTCCCCTGTCCGACGCCGCAGATCACCCTCCCCTGTCCGGCGCCGCAGATCACCCTCGCCTGTCCGGCGTCCCAGATCACCCTCACCTGTGCGGCGTCGCAGGTCGCCCTCTCCTTTGCGACGTTGCAGATCTCGCTCACCTGTGCGTCGCAGATCACCCTCACCTGTACGACGGTCGTATCGAAGATCCCCATTGAATACACGGGATCGGTATGTGTCTCCCTTGCAGCATAGGTCACCAGTTCGTAGCAGGAGGTCACCAACTCCTCCGCATAGGTCTCCGTCTCCACATGATCAAAGTTCATCTCCTATTCAGCATGATTCCCCTTCGCCAATCAGGAGAACATCAAAGCTTCAAAGATCTCCCTCACAATCTCCTCAAGAAAGAACCAGGTTTATATAACTCTGTTTTTTTAAGAATTCTGTTTTTTTTTTTCCTGACCCATAGGCTTTTGTTTGGTGCATTGCATGCCAGATTTAAGCTCATTAGAAGTTCTGTAGTGGTACTCATTTTGTGAGATTAAGTTATCGAGAGCTTTCCTTGTAGGGACTTCTGTTGCATATTGTCAATTAGTTCTTAGCTACCTGTTTAGATATTTTTTTATAAGGCATGTTGAGAAAAACAGCGATTTTATAAAAACCAGTGTTTACAGGTCCCTTGAAAAAACTTCTTCCGTGCCACACCGGTCTAGCTCACATGGGTCATTGCAGAGGGAATTAAAGAATGGGAATGATTCGCGTAAAAGAGAAACAGATTTCTTGCCATCACCAGAGAGGTCTCGCATACTCTCAGAATCTCCACCAGGCGTAAGAAGTTCTAGTGAAGAAAGGAGGTATACATTTTGGCTGCTTATTTGATTCATATGATCTCACAACGTTAGTCTTTGATTATTTTGTTAGTTTTGTACTTACTATTTCATGCTGCATTAGAAGAAGTTTGTCTAGCCCAGATGAGAGTCCAGTTAGACGACCAAGGGAGCAAATGACACGTAATGTTAGCTCAAGTCCTCCAAGGAAACTAAGAGAACAACAACTTCGTCGTGGAAGTCCAGACACAAGTGAAGAGTAAGAACTGAACTATACTAGGTTCATTTGAATTTGAAAATTTATCAGAATATCGTGATATACTCTTTGTTATCATTTATCATGGTATTATTCAATTCAAAATAAATAAATTATCATAGCATTAGAATATTTTCATTCTTTCAATTTATCTTTACTAATTTTGGATTTTTTGGTGTGGTATCAGTAAGCCGAAAGTTTCTCCTGCTAAGGTTCGTAACAAGGAAGAGTACTCTAAGAATCGCCTGGGTAATAAGGACTCCAGAAACAAAGAGCAGGAGATGAAGAGGTAAATATGCCTGCAACACATTTTATAATGCATATATGATTTTACTTGGATGCACTTAATTTGTAGGTCTGACATGGTTACACTCCTGACAGTGGGAAATCTTCTGGGAGGGGGGTTCCTGAAAGTCCTGATCAACAACAGTCTCCGACCATATATAAGGACTCTCTACATGGTGAGACGCAAAATCCCGATGATGGTAGAAAGTCTGATGAAAAGAACCGCTCTCATTCAAAAAATTCCAAGGACAGTGATAGGCATCGTAAACCTGGATCTGTGCACTCATCAGTTGAAAAGGTTGATCATGGTAATCGAAGTGGTACTGTTGAATCTGGTTCCGAGGAAAGTGAAAAACGCAGAGGTGGGGATAAGGGAAAAAGAAAGAATAAGAGATCAGAGAGGCAAGAAGTTACTTCAGAGGATGATTACAGCAATGATTCTGAAATAGACGAGAGGAAGGATGCTAAAAGGAGAAGGAAAGAGGAAAAGAGATCAAGGAAGGAGAAGAAGCGCCGAAGACGCGAGGAGAGACGTCACAGAAAAGAAGAACGTCGTGCAGAGAAGCTGAAAGGGAAGAATTACAGTGGTGCTTCTGCTTCAGATTGTGAACATGTAGGCAGGAGGGAGCTTCATTCAAGTGACAATGAAGAGACGGAGGCTATTCAGAAGAAACTTGAGATTGAGTTACGAAAGAAGGCTCTCGAATCACTTAAAGCAAAAAAGGGCATTAGTCATTAAATTTGTTGCTGTGTTTGGATACTGATGTTTAAACTTTTCAATTATATTAAGCAATAACATTTCAGATTTGGTATGAGTATAATTTGTTTGAATGCGAGTATTTCTATGTTTTTATTACTGTTTAATGTAATCTGTGTTTACTGCTGGCAGTTTAAGTGGATAAATGAGGATTTCCTGAGCTATTCCCTTGAGTTCAACTTTATGCAGACCTTGCTGCTAGATTTTCTGGTAATGGTTGTCTTTTGTGAATTGTGTATATGCTTTGTTGTTTTATAGGATGTCATCATCATATGGATATGGAGTATTGGCTTTTGTCTGATTTTGATTTTGAATTGGGTTTTAGTTCTAGTTTTTTTAATTGTCGAACACTTGATTAAATTTTGTATTTGGGCATTGTTAGCTTGTTTGATGTGCAAAGTTGGTTATAATTTTGGGTAGAATTTGTTCTGGCAGTATGATTGGTTTACATTATTTGTTTCTTACAACGTAAAGAACCTGAAGGTCTTGTCTGTTTCACTGATGAGCATTTACTAAAACTAGCTTCCTGGTTAATTGGTAGATGAAATTTATGTCAACTAGGTGTGAACTACTTGAGCAGATCATGTGCAGATTCACATTTTGACCATTGATTCAGGTAAGCTTTTCTATGCCTTTATGGGCTTTTTTAGAGGAACAACTCAGTGTCTCTAGGGGAATCCTCTTTCTACCTCTTTCAATCTAATAATCTCTCTCTTTTCCCCTCCTAGTTTGTATATTGTTGTTTCTTTCTTACTTCATTTGTGTTTAAATTTTAAGGTTGGCAGCTTGAGAGTTGTTCCTGGGACTAATTTATCTAAAATTGTCCATGGTGCTGTGGTCTGGATTTGTCCGGTCCTGATGTTGATACCAGCTATAAGGTTGATTGGGATGGTAGTCGCATTTAATTTTGATAGGAAAATTTGTTGCTTGGATAATATTTTTCTGTCGTTGGGCAGTACTGTTGAAAAATTGTGATTTTAATTGTTCATTTAGACATATGGTATGTGAATCTTTGGCTGCAGTTTTTACTCTCATTTCCTTTCAATAGTTAGTCATAAGTATTTTCTGCATCTTGGCATGGATTTCTATTCATTTTCAGAACTACAATGACACATCTATTTTGATGTATTACTGCCATTTGCAAAAGGATTTGTTTTGCGGTATATGATTAACTTTGAGGGTGCGAGATGATTTCCGTTGCTAAAGTAAATAGTTTGTTACCGTGGATGCTAGTAGTCTATGCTTAAGAAGCTTAAGAATTAGCATTTAAATAGCAAATTGATAGTGAGTTTTGTTGGAGATGTGAAGCATGGAGTTGTATTTGTAACGTGTTGTCTGACTTAAGCACAAGTAGATGCGGCTTATGGTTATGGACTTGGATGCTGATAGCAACCCTCATGGAAGGGGAAGGAAGGATGAGAGCTCATCTGTTTTGTAGTGAAGATCTCGGTGAGCATGCTAGTACGCGAGTATATTTTGCTTGCCAGGTTGTGTTTAGGTTTTAGGTGGGCTTCGACTGAAAATTTGTTTTTGTGTTCCCTGAGTTAATATGTTTTTCTAGGTTGTCCTTTTTGGTTTCCCACCCTCACCCGTCCATCCTTCACTTTTCGCAGGTAGTCCCGAGCAAAACTCCCATTCAATAGGTTGTAATATGTGGCATCCCTAGAAAATTTTCAGGTTATTCAATATTCTTTATTTGATTTACTAGCTTCTTTAGGAGTTCTCCAGCTCCGACCTTTTTGAGTTTTCCGTTTATTTTTCCGTCATTGAAATCCTCTGTTTGAATACGATTTTTGTCGATTTTAATCTATTTGTAGTTGTTACCAGTATGGCATGGCTTGATTATTGTTGTGAGGTTGTGCATGCTGCAATACCATTCTGTTTTGTTAGCTTGGATTCCTTGTTACTCCCTAGAATTTACCACGGCTGCGTGCCCTTTATGGCGTGCCGTTGAATGTCGCTTTTCGGTTGTTTTGCCAATGAATTAGTCCTGGGTTACATCGACCTACTTGCTTTAGGCTTCGAGTCTTATGATACTTCTGTTAAAGAGCAGATAACCTCTCGCCGGAGATTTTGCTCAGTAACTAGGAAAACACACCCGTGTGTTGGCATCTCCGGTGAGAGACATGATTTTTGCTATCCCACCGGCGTGTTGCCATTAAAGTTCCCGAGATCTCTTCTTGCTCACTCTTATGGTGCTTCAACGAAACTGACAAAATTATGGACATTGAGTTATTTAGACCATATTATGGAATTCAAATCCCCTTCAGACTGTCTGGAGGCGACGGACTAAGGAATTCGGGCTGTTCAAGAGAGAAAGAGATCCGAGTTGTTCAAGGGCTTGGTTTTGTAGGAAGTGGGCGAGTGGAATGCGCCAATGAGAGAATTTTCCAGTCCATCGGGTTTGGATATATTCGGAGAGGATCTGAATTCCATACTATGCATCCGCGGGCCATCCCTATCTTATTATTTCTTTGGAATGTAGAAATATCATGGCTGTATGTCATTTTCTGGAGGCCGCCATTAAAATCCTTGGTGTCCAATTTTCCTCAAGTAGATAGACCGTGCCACGTGGCGCCGTTTCATTCGCCTGCTCCCATACCCTCCCATCCAGATAATATTCTTGCCCGAGGCTCGTACTGTCCTGGAGCCCGTCATGGATATGCAAAAAATCTGAAGTGTGAGGGAAAGAGCCACTCTTTGCATCAATGGCTCCAACTCTCACTTCCAATTCGTTTCTTCTAACCTCCACACCCAATCCATCAAGAGCAACAAACCTCAAGAACCCGAGGCTCTCGGTCTTCGCCAAGAGGGCAGGACCCTTGTCTGCGTTTCGGTTTGGTAAGTCCGGGGACGATGGTTCAGTGTCGGACGAAGGACAAGCTGATGACTCCACCAATTCCAGCCCTTTCCGGTTTAATTTCGGCAAAATGCCCGACGTAAAGTCTTTGGTCCCCGTTGTGAGTCGGCCTTCTTTAGGTCTGTCATTCGGGAACCAAAGAGCGAAGGACCCTGGAACTGTGTTTGTTGCTGGCGCAACCGGGCAGGCTGGGGTTCGGATAGCGCAGACCCTTCTACGTGAAGGTTTTAGCGTACGGGCTGGTGTGCCTGAGCTTGGTGCTGCTCAGGAGTTGGCTCGAGTTGCTTCTAAATACAAGGTTAGCTTCTCAAACCAATTTTATGAACAATGTCAGTTGCAACACTTTCGTACCAAACTTTCTAAAATTAACCATGATGATTTTTTTGACGGGAATTATAACGCCTTCTTAAACAATGAAATCGACATTATTCGTATCGATTGCTTTAGTGGTAGAAGACTTATCTTTCGCTATGCAAGCATTTTGTACACTAGATCATATCGAATGAAGAATCAAAACGCCTCAACGCGGTCGAATCCGTCTTCCAAGATGCTGAGTCCATTGCCAAAGCCATTGGAAACGCCAGTAAAGTAGTCGTCACCATTGGCCCTGCCGAGAATGGTCCAACGACGGAAGTCACCCCATTTGACGCCTTGCAGGTGATTCAAGCTGCCCAACTGGCCGGCGTTGGCCATGTGGCGATAATCTATGATGGAAACTCAGTGGGATCATCAACGAACAATGTACTAGATGGCATATCTTCATTCTTCAACAACCTCTTCTCGCAAACTCAGTTGTTGACAGTCGCTGAGTTTTTGCAAAAAGTCATTGAAATGGACGTTAGCTACACCTTTATAAAGACAAGTTTGACGGAAGATTTTTCGCCGGAGAGCTCTTATAACATTGTTATGTCAGCTGAAGGAGGCGGAGGTGCAAACGACTACAAAGTAATGTAATGTAATGTATGCAATATTAGTGTTGTGATTTCATTTTTATTTTTTGACATTAAACTTTCGTAGTTTGTCCTGATAATATTGAACATTACACAACTAGGTAGCCAAGTCTCAGATTGCAGCCCTGGTGGCAGATGTTTTCTCAAATACTTCCATGGCGGAAAATAAGGTACACAAAACCGAACACGTTGCAGATCACATCTTTTGCCAATTGGGCTCTTCTATCTATCTCAGCCGGTTTGACCGTTGTGATAAATGTGATCGATCAAACATTACTTCTTTTTTTTCTTCCCATATGTGTATATTCAAAGTTATTACAGACATTGATTGGTTACTAGTATATAGTATTTTTCTGTTGGCTTCCCTATTGATTTAAATTATTTATTTTTATGATTGGCAAGGTTGTGGAAGTATATACCGATCCATCTGCACCCATGAGGCCTGTAGATCAGCTTTTCGGGTAGAACCCTAGTCATGTTTTCTTATTCAAAAAATTACTTTATATGGAAGATTTTCTAACTGTGGTGCATGCTTTATTGGCTTTATATAGTACCATCCCTGAGGATGGAAGAAGGAAAGCTTATGCAGAAATGATTGCGAAGGCAAAGGTGGAAGAAGAGGCAATAATAGCTGCTGAGAGAGCCCGCGAAGCAGCTGAGGCGACGAAGAAACTTGAAGAAGAGGTAAAAAAGCTGACCGAGCAAGAAGCTCGCGCGTCAAGTTTAGCTGAAGATGCTCAAGTGAAGGCTGATACTACAGGGGCCTCAATAGATGGCCTTTTGAACAAGGCAAAAAACATTGGCACAAGGATGTCGTGGGAAAAGTTTAGCACACAAGTTGTGGATACAGTTCAAAAATCCGTAGAGACGCCAAAATCAAAAGTGCAGATTGCGACCGTCAGAGGACAATCAAAGGCTCGGACTTTATCTCCGCAGAAAGCAGTTTCCAAGCCAGTTTCAACTCCAAAACCAGCTTCTTTGAAACCTAAGGAGCAGCCAAAGCCTAAAGCTAAACAAACAGATGCGAAGAAAGAAGTGAGGAAGGTGTTCGGGGGCTTGTTTACGCAGGAAACCGTGTATGTTGACGATGAGTGAGACGATTAATTACTTGCCAAGTAATAGTCTTTTCAGACTATTTTGGTGAAAGAATGTGTAGTAGATTGTGGTGTAATTGAAATTTGGAAGATGTTTAATTTTACACGAGTTCTAGCAAATAATTTTTGTACTGGTTAAAGTCTTTTCTCAATGAATAATGAATTACTCTCTTTCGACTTCTTAATAATCCAAACCTTAATTAAGTGAACATTTGCAAAAACACCATATGAAAAACTAATTGCAGAAACTTATGACCTAAGTTACACTAAACTTAAAGCAGACGCGGTCCGTTTAAAGCACTTAAAACACAAAACTAAAGTGAAACATAACGAAATGATTCAAAACACTTACCAAATGATCCCGGATCAATCTCAAAACTTGGAATACATACGGTGACGTATATATTAAGATCACATTTCCAGTCGTCTGGTGCTGATTGTAAACCATTGAAAGATTTGGTAAGAACTGTTATGCAGAGAGTGAGAGAGAAGAAGAAGATTGGGAGATTTTAGAGAGAGAAGAGATCTTTGGAAATGTATTCTTTCTTGTTAGTTACAACTGTTTATTAAAAGCTGTATTTAATATCTATAGTAGCTTGCACTCTAAGCTACAATCACAACAAACTTAACTAACTTTGTAATCTATTGACACATGTCAATTCCATAGCCATAGGATCTTAATACTCCTAATATCCCCCCTCAAGCTCAGGAGAAGAGAAATTGAGCCTGAGATTGGCACAATGTGTCTGAAATAGTGGTGCAAAGAGCCCTTTAAGTATATCATCAAATTGTTCATTCGAAGACACGAAATGCACCTGCAGTTGCTGTTTTGCTACACTTTCCCGAACCAAATGCACATCAATCTCAATGTGCTTAGTGCGTTGATGCTAAATTGGATTGCAAGTAAGGGCTATTGCAGATAAGTTGTCACAAAAGAGGTGAGGTTTATCAGAAATTGGAACATGCAGAAAAGCCAACAATTGTTTGATCATATCGATTTCTGTTGCTGTAGTCGACAAAGTCCGATATTCAGCCTCAGTTGATGATCGAGAAACAATGTTTTGTTTCTTAGATGACCATGAAATGTGATTAGACCCCAGAAACACAACCATTCCAATGGTTGGTCTTCTATCATTAAGGTCCCCTGCCCAATCTGCATCACTATATGCAGTGAGATCCAGTGAACCTTTGACATAATGAATACCACATCATTGAGTAGCTCTTAAGTATCTGAGAATTTTTTTAATAGCCATGAAATGGGACTCCATAGGGCTTTGCATAAATTGACATAGCTAATGCAATGTCATGCCTAGTGAATGTTAAGTATTGGAGGACACCAACCAAGCTTCTATATAATGCAGGGTTATTGTAAGGCTTTCCATCATCTTTGAGTAATATGTTGTAGGGCAAGCATGGAGTAGCACATGGTTTAGACAACAACATTTCAGACTTGGTTAACAAATATGTGACATACTTGTCTTGAGATAGGAATACACCATCCTTCTTCTGCATAATTTGGATCCCAAAAAAATATTGAAGTGGTCCAAGTCTTTTATATCAAATTCCTGAGTGAGAGATTGAATAACCTCAGTGATTGCTTGTGTTGCACTTCCTGTTATAATGATGTCATCAACATATAATATCAAGATCACCACAGAACTGCCAACTGCTTTCACAAACAATGATGAATCTGCATATGTGGATTTAAACCCCAAAGATGGTAGAAAATTAGTGAATTTCTCATTCCAGGCCCTTGGTGCCTGTTTCAATCCATATAAGGATTTATGTAATCTGTAAACATAGTCTCGATGTTTAGTATCAACAAATCTACCATGTACACCTCTTCGTGCAATATGCCATGTAGAAAGGCATTTTTCACATCCAATTGTCTCAATGTTCAGCCAAAGTGTGTAGATAGGGCCATAACTAATCTCACTGTTATAGGTTTAACAACTGGACTAAAAGTCTCTCCATAGTTAATACCCTTTTTCTTGATTAAACCCTTTAGCCACCAGTCCTGCTTTATATCTCCCAATTGAACCAACAACATTCTTCTTGATCTTAAAGACCCATTTACAACCTACTAAGTTCTTGTGCTTTGGTAGAGGAACCAATGACCATGTACCTTGGTTGTGTAAAGCTGAAATCTCATCTTTCATAGCCTTATGCCATATTGGGGATTTTAATGCAGACTTATATGTTGTAGGTTCAATTTGATTCAAATCAACTCCTCTATTTTCATGTATAGCAGCAAGTAGAGCAATTTTCTTTGGGATGCCACTCTTTGACCTTGTATGCATAGGGTGAAGATTGATTGAAGGAATAGATAAAACCACTTCTAGTTGTGCATGTTGGAATTCAAGTACCACATAGAGTGTAGGAGACAAGGGCTGTGTTGTTGGTGCAACAATGGATTGACTAAAGCTTGAATCTTCTGAATTTGAACTTGAAACTGTAACTGGAATTGTAGTGGAGTATTTTGAAGCTTGATTGATAACAATATTTGGCATGAAACTAGGTATAGGGACTGAACCTAATTGTGTGGGACCTGGTGAGGAACTCAATGTGGAGTGATTTTGTGGTTATGGCAAAACAAGGATATTATTGTGATCTGGTATTGGAATTTGTATTTGTATGAGTGATGGTAGTGGTGTAGTAGTGACAGAGTGATGTTTGGGAACCAAAGATTGGTAAGGAAACTCTATCTCATTAATTATCACATGTCTAGAGATATATAAAAAAAAATTCTAGATACATCATAGCAGAGATACCCTTTATACTTAGATGCATACCCCAAAAAGACACACTTTGTTGCTATGGGTTCTAATTTGGTGCTGTTATATGGTCTTAACCAAGGGTAACAAGAACAACCATATACCTTCAAATGTTGGATCTTAGGTATTGAATTATGCAGCAATTCAAATGGTGATTTATTGTCTAATGTAGGGGATGACATTTTGTTGATTAAGTATACTGAGGTTTGACAAGCAACAGACCAAAACAAGGATGGTAATGAAGCAGATTGTAACGAAGTGATGGATGTTTCAATAATATGTCTATGTTTTCTCTCTGCTATCCCATTCAGTTTTGGTGTATGAGGACATGACATTTGATGGCTCACTCCTTTATCAAAAAGAAACTTTGGAAATGCTTTACTTATATATTCACCACCATCACTTTAGAGAGTTTTTATGGATGTATGAAACTGGTTTAAAATGAAATTGTAAAAGGAAACAAATGTTGCAGAAACATCATTTTTATTGCATATGGGGAAAATCCAACAATAATTGGTACAATGATCAATGAAGGTCACATAGTACTTGAATCCTTTTAAAGACACACAAGGAGTAGGGCCCCACACATCAATATGTACAATATCAAAAGGTTTTACACACTTTGCAACTGAAGGAGAATATGACAGTTTACTGAATTTACCCTCTAAACATGTTTGACACAGTGAAGGTGTACTATCAGCAACACATGAGACATTTGAAGTTCTTAAAACTTAAGAGATTATTGAATTAGAAGGATGACCTAGTCTCTTACTGATTGTAACTTGTTTTCCAAGAAAAGCTGCAAGTTGCCCTTTATTGATTACTCCATGAGACCTTGGTGAGATGATAAGGTGCAATCCATTGTTACATAACCCTTTGTAGAGTATCCTCCATGTGGCTTTGTCATGATTCCAAAATGAAAATGCATTGAAAATCAACCAACAATTATTATCCAAATAGATTCTATGCACATACAATAGGTTTTGAGACATTTTTGGTACATAAAGAATAGAATTAAGCTTAATAGGCTTCATTGGAGTTGTGAGGAGAGTTGAACCAATATGAGAGATGGCTAAACCTTCACCATTATTTGTCTAGATTGTCTCATTTGATGGATATGGGGTTGCTAATGTGAGATTATTCAATTCTGAAGTCATGTGATTATTGGCATCTGAATTAGTAAGCCAAACTTGTTGATGTGATGGTGCAAATGGCACTAAGAATGGAGAGTAATGACCATTAGATGTGGTAGCATACATGGCATTCATTGGAGAATGAGAAGTCTTCTGAAAACATGTTTTTGCATTGTGATATGGATTCCTACATATTTGACAACATGAAGAAACACCTATATTTCTATATCTGCAAGTATCAGCAAGATGGTTGTTCTTGCCACAAATTTGACATCCCTGTGATGAATTTGTATTTCTGAATCGGCAAGTAGAGGCCAGATGATTGTTTCCCCACAAATTTGGCAAGTTTGAGCTTGAAAGCCATAGTTTTGTGATTTTGGTGGCGATGTACCAAGAATTCCAGGAGCAGGACTTGAATGAAAATTCTTGTTGTTGCTAAATTTCAGATTGAAGTTGGAATTGAACTGATTTCTACACCTATATTTCTATATCTGCAAGTATCAGCAAGATGATTGTTCTTGCCACAAATTTGACATCCCTGTGATGAATTTGTATTTCTGAATCGGCAAATAGAGGCCAGATGATTGTTTCCCCACAAATTTGGCAAGTTTGAGCTTGAAAGCCATAGTTTTGTGATTTTGGTGGCGATGTACCAAGAATTCCAGGAGCAGGACTTGAATGAAAATTCTTGTTGTTGCCAAATTTCGGATTGAAGTTGGAATTGAACTGATTTCTACCTTTGTTGTTGTTATTAAAAGACTTGTATGCATTAGAGTTGGGACTAACATGATTGCCACAAGAGTTGGAAAAAGACTGATTCTTGGAAGTAAAACCATTGTTTTGTGCCATGAGTACATATAACACAGGTGATGTAGATACATTTTAAAGCAAAGTTTCTTCAACAAGAAGTTGAGATCGAAAATCTTTCAATGATATCACAATCTCACGACCCCTAATCATAGATCTTATTATATTGAATTCAGTAGACAAACCATTTAGTGTAAGAATCACAATATCATCATCATCAAAGAATACATCAGCAACAGTCAAGAAATCTCTTGCCTCTTTAATTTTATGCAAATATATTGTGATGGAATCATTACCCTTCTTTATAGTCTGAAGCTCAGATTTGAGTTGAAAGATGCTTGTTCTTGTGACTGTAGAAAATTGTCTTTAAGCCGAGTCCACAAATCTTTGGAACTAATACTGCCAATTGCCCAGGAAATTGCAGTAGGAGACAAAAGTTGTAGTGATCAACTGCATTAATGCT